GCAAAAATGTTATCAAAAGAGAAGGGCAAACTAATCTGTAGCCCATAACCAGTAAAAATCAAAATAAAGGAGGCCATAATGGATATGACATAAAGGAATCAGATGTAATGAAGTAATGCAGAAATGTACATATATGAATATATCTTTAAATAAGTAATAATATAAAGAAGAAGAACACTAAAATGTAAATCAGTGTTGTTAGTAATTAACCTATATGTGAATGTACCAAAGTAGGAATCAGAGATTAGTAGATAAACGAAGCATAAATTGAACTTAAATCAGTCATAAAATGTTTAAAAATTGCAAAAAAATTATCAAAATCACTAGGAATTGAAAAATAAAAGAAAAAGGAATTTGGATCAAACATAACAGTTAGTGGAGTACTCACTGTTACCTGTTATGAATTCAGTCATATAACTATAGAAAACCCACAGCATGACCACAACAGAGTCAACCAAGTCTCTATGTCTGTTTAGACATGAATTATATCCACGCGCACAGATACACTCAACATAACTTGTGTGACTTAAATTAGAGAACCGAGCGAGAGAGGACGGTAAATTCACCCCCCTTTTGGCTCGATTCGAGCTGAGTTATCAGATTTATGGGTTGTAATATCATCCAAATTAGTGGAACCCCTGTGAGGTTTGATTTCCTTCCTGTGGACCCACTTATTGACGGGATCTTTGTTACCTTTGGTGATCTTGATCTGATACACGACCGGAGATAGTTTCTCAGTTATCAGGTATGGACCTGACCACGTCAACAAAAGTTTCTTAGCCAGTTTACCAGAGGTGACTTTTGTGTGACCGGCATTAGGAGCAAAGATGTAGAACCAGGCCTTATGACCTACATTGAGTTCAGAATGTGAGGCCTTCTGATCATAATAAGCCTTTCTGCCCTCAGCTGATTTCTCCAGATAGTCTGTGCAAAAGAAAATGCTGCAGGCAGATGGTTCTTCAGGTCCTGCAAATATTGCTCGCTGGTGTAAGCTGGAGCGGCACGGGATTGAACTGACTGGTACAGCAGGTGAAGCGGCAGGGTCATCTGTTTACCCGACATCATTTCTTGAGTACACGCCATTGTGGGGTCACTTCTAACACAAACCTTTAGTGTGAACAGGCGGTAGTTAATCATCACCAGATCTGGGCGCTCTCGGAGCATGATACCCGAAGAGGGCCCAGGTTTGTACAGTCACGATAGAGAAGGCTGTGGAGGAAGCTTAGCCGCGTTTGACATCAGACAGACACACTCAACTAGCAAAAGATACTTTGTCAGTCCTGAAAACTGAAAACAAGAACCTTTAAAACGGTAGACTGGCACAGGCGCGGCCTTGCAAGGGTTCTGCGCAGGTGTGCGCTCTGGTGGGCCCTCGGTCGACGCGCAGGTGCAGTCAGAGAGATCAGGGTCAGCCAGTAGTGGTACAAGGCGACAGTCAACCTCCTCTTTGGTAGGTGAGTCACCAACCTCAGGGCTAGAGGTCACCAGCGCCAGCTGTAGTGGAGTAGTGTCAGTGATGTCGTTAGCCCCCCCCCAGCAGGTGGCGTCCCCACCGCAAGGTACTGGGCTTCAGCTTGAGTCTCAGCGCCACCATCAACTCGCCCATCAGCAGGTGGTGTTCCCCCTGCAGGGCGCGGAGTCTCAGGTGGAGTGTCACTGCATCTGTCAACCTCATCTAGGGCAGGTGGTTTTCCCACTCCAGGGTGAAGTGATCCTGCTGCAGAGACGACACAGACTCTGGGGGTGTCACTGACTTGGAGGTACTGGACCGACTGGTCACTCTGGCGGCGCCGTTGTAGTTAACGACACCTAGAGAGGGAATGACATGGACACGAAAGAGAGCACGGAGCTCAGGAACAGAGTCAAGCTCGACAGATGAAGGCAGATGAGCTGTCGGATCAGAAAGGTACAGGATCATCCTGCTGATAGCAGGGTCCTGGGACTGAAGACTGACAAGGTCATTTTCAGCAAAGACAGGTTGAACAGACACAAAACCATCGGGTGGTCGAGAGGTGGACGCCTTAGCGGCCTGAGCTCAAGTCACGACACACACACACACACAGGGTGGGTCTGACTGAGAAGACACATCATCAGGGAGCCACAAGGGGTTGAAGGACCATGGGGTACCAACAGCTGCACGAAGTACCAGGCACGGAGCTGAGCATAACGCGGCCTTCGGGTCAACCATGGCCTGCTGCTGCTGCTTAGTCCACTCGAAAGGCACATCCTTTTTCAGCAGGGCGGTCAGAGGTCTCGCCATCTCAGCGTAGTGTTCTACGAACTGGCGAGAGTAGTTGCACACACCTAGAAAACTCCAAAGTTCAGAGACATTCGTAGGAGGTTTGATGGTGGCAACTCCTTGAATTCTGCCGTGTTGAGGCCGCACTCCCTGTTGTCCCACAGGGAGGCCAACAAACTGAACCTTTGACCTGCACCACTGACCTTTGGCGAGAGAAATCTTTGCACCAGCAGCTGTGAGCTGACCCATGACGTGGTCCAGCTCGGCAGGAAGCTTTCTCAATAGCATCCATTCTTTTTTCTAAAGATAGGACCTTTTCATCCAAATTTAGGAATTTCTGGTTCAAATTGGAGAACTGCTGTTGCATTTCCTGTTTCATTTCAGTCAGAAAATCCATTAAAAGTTTACCCCGGTCTGCAGCCATCTTGATGATGCCACAGAACCCTTGATTTTGTTATAAATTAATTGGGAACTGGATTTAATGCTTTTGCTGAAGATGCCGGATTAAAGCCCGCCAGTAGATGGCAGTACCAGATCAATGAAGGAATTTGGTCAGAGAAGAAGATACACGGTTGCGTCACTTCCTGTTTACCGATCTCTTCAATAATAAAAGAACTAGCAGATTAGATCATCTTAGGTGTGTTCTTGCTGTGTCTTTCTAAATCCATGCTTTCGTTCTGTTTTAAACACAGAAACAGTTTTGTTTACCTGTTTGTAGCTACAGTTTCGCCGACGGCTGCCGGCTTCTTCAGGCTGACGCTGATGGTGGCGCGTCACTTCCTTCTCTGTTTATCTGCGGGCAGCAGAGGACGTTGTCGCCCTCTACTGCCCGCTCTCCCCTCTCCGACGATGCAGTCCCATGCGTGGTCCAGCGTGTAAACTCCGTCGTCCCTTTTTTATTGTACTTTCTGCAGAAAGTACAATAAAAAAAGTCAGCCGTAACAGATCATTGCTTAAGAGAAAACCATATAATGGACTGGGACAACACACGGATCATAACCACCGAACAACAAAAATACAAAAGATGGATCAACGAAGCAATCGAGATAAGGAGACGTGGAGGTGGGACCATGAACAGGGACGACGGAGTTTACACGCTGGACCACGCATGGGACTGCATCGTCGGAGAGGGGAGAGCGGGCAGTAGAGGGTGACAACGTCCTCTGCTGCCCGCAGATAAACGGAGAAGGAAGTGACGCGCCACCATCAGCGTCAGCCTGAAGAAGCCGGCAGCCGTCGGCGAAACTGTAGCTACAAACAGGTAAACAAAACTGTTTCTGTGTTTAAAAAAGAACGAAAGCATAGATTAGATCATTCTTTTTCTTCTGCACTCGAAGAGTACAGATGCTTCCCTCTTTCGCCCCCTTATCTTTTTTCCCTAGGCTCTTTGTCCTGTCTGCCCACAGAGCGCTTCTCTGCATTTCTTCTGAAAAACTTTATTTTTTCACTAACCATGGATTTGATAAACTGGTAATTCAATGCGATCGACAAGACTTTTTCAACAATGAGAATGGAGCAGGGTGCTCACACATGTCCTCAGGGGAGACACCCGGTGGGATATATGTTGGATTTCTGGAAGGAGTGGAAGATCATATGCCTCTCCCAGCTGTCCATTGAGGACATCGAAGACGTGTGGATATTTGGTCTAATGATCACTGGATTTCTCCTGATTGGAGTGGGAGGATATCTGGTCTTCTGGAAATTTGCGAAGACTGGAGCGATTGGAGGGCGACCCGCAACCACAGAAAGCACCGTCCATGGGGAGACTTCTCAGACTGGGACGTTACTTGAGGTGAATCGTAAGCTGGACAATGTTCTAGCTGCGATACCGGTATTAGTGCGCAAAATGGATGTCATCTCGGAGAGAGTCACCAGATGGTATGGACAAGTTTAAAACTTAAAATTGGCTTCACTGAAGGATTGGAAATGATCAGTTTAAAGACTGAAGGCAGAGAGAAAACTTATCTCAGCCTGACCCAAACAAAGTCTTGTTATCTGAATCCGAAACCCTGCTAGCCTTGAGCTGCTAAAACCCCCATGAAGGAATGCAGACAGATGCTGTGAAAACCCGACCCCCCCTTCGGATTGGTGGACTTCAGCCTGGCGAGGTCATCAACTGTAGGAGTCAATGTACTCTTTGCTTCTCCCAAGATCTCCCTCTCACCTGTGACTGTACAGTAGATGAGCGCCAGATGGCTGCTCTCGCTGGTTAACCCCTAACGAGCTTGCCCTCGTTTTCCAATCACACAGAAAAAATTGTTGTTGATGAATTAACGAATCAGAACCAACTCGAAGTGGACAATTTTAATAAATCTGGCTGGAATTCGCCAATATGTAATAGTTGGTTAAATATAGTGCTTTAAGAGCTTAATATATCACCTCTACTTATGACCAATATATAGAATATCCACCTGCTTGGTCTTTGGATGTTTAATCAGAAGATTCTAGGATTCTTTGTTTAGTTTTGTAACAACCCCACTGATGACTTTTCAAATCCTGTTGGCTTAATTTACTGTGACTTAGCTTTGTTTTAAGTAAGTAATATTCACCCCAGCAACAGCACCAGGCAGCTGATCACCAGAACATTCCAGAAAGAGTCTATGCTGTTTCTGCTCAATATGTAAATTTGTATGTTTAGTTTTTATTAGAAATGATTCTTTTTCCCTGCGCTGTGGCCTACAACAGTAAAGATGAGACAATTTAAGCTGTGCTATGTTATTACAACACCTTTGCATTCTTGTTTGTAACTAAAATAACCCATGTAACGTGAGGAAATATGGGTTTTCTATCACAAAGGTGGTGTTGGACTCAGCTGTGTCAAAGCTGGGTCGCTGAGAACTTTCACCCACAGATTAAGACCTGAACGCCAGCGAGTCTGGGAGGAAACCATAACATCTGCCACCTGCAGTCTACCAGAAGATGTGTTTACATGAGTTGTACCCAGACCAAGTCAAAACATAAAGTTTAAACTTCTTTTTCTTGATTTTAATGTTAAAATAACCATTATCATTTTGCTCATTATAAATGTGTTTAATCAAATGAATGGTTCTTATGCTTTGGGGTAATTATAATGGATTAATGAATCCACACTTAAGTAGATAATGTTGAATGTTTGGTACTGACCTTCACACTCAAGCACACAAACATTCACACACACCTTCCCACAGTAAAATCCAGACACATTTGATGACGCACATGTTTTTGCTTTGAGAAGAGAGAGTTTTTGGTAAGTTTCAATCTTTTGTGAACAGTTCGTGTTGGACAACGAGAGAGAACAGACCTGAAAACCAAAGGGGGGGCAGAGCCTGTTGGCTCGTTCTTCCCCCCTTCTCTCACGCTGTTTCTGCCACGCCAGGCAGAATAGCTGAACCGCAACTTCTAACGCAGACTCATTACCGAGTCTTTTGATTTCTGAGTGAATTAACTTAAGAAAGTGCGTCGACAAAACGCTTTACCATCAACGTGTACCGAGGGACAACTCTGGACCGGGTCGCAGTGCATCTTTGTCTTCTTTGCCAGCCAAGGTGACGTGGATGAAACATCCTAAGGTGACGTCCCGGGTCCAACAGAGGGTCCGATTTTCGGTGAGGCAAAACACGACAGATAGCGTTTTGATGCATCTTTTCCACTAAACCTAAGTTTATTCAAACCATCACTTCACTCAGACACCTGTTTCTTCCTGAAGCAAAATCAGATGCACACATGCATTCATCTCATCTCATGTTCAATTCTCACTACACTTGGCACCCACACGCATCCATAATCACATCATATCACTCTCAATCTTCATTCACCTACAGAAGGTCTATTTGAGCATTAACAGCATATCAACTGTTAAAAGATTGTCCCACAAAGTTATCAATGTTGATTGTATTTCCTGTTTGTCAATTTCAAAATCATTAGTTTAATTTGAAGAATTAAAACTTTTAAACGTCAAACTGGTTTCCTCATTGAACTGAAACACAGACACTCAGATATTATCGGCAGTTTATGGATGAAAACAACCTTTGAGTCTTCTGAACAATATAACATTTGGTTATTGATTTATTAAAATTAATATTCCGAATTAATACGTAGCATGGTTTCTCTTCAATAAAAGAGCATAAATCCATAACGCTACATTTAATGGCGAGCGTATCCAGTCTTCTATATCTGCGATATGTCTGATTTCTTACATCTAAAAGCTACAAACAACGCTTTTCTCTGTGTTTCACTTTGATGTCTTATTTTGAAATTAACCGGAAATTGTTCCGTTGAAGTCACTCTTCCGCGAGGCGTCGTCCTGGTGGAAACTTGGCCGGGAAGATCTCCGATCTCAAATTGACCGCAAATTACAGACCTAACTTTGATTTATCCCATCTTCGCCTTCGGAGCGAACGTGTGAGTTGTGCTTTTGACTAAATTCTGTCCATTTTGACGCGCCGCCGCGTCTCCAATCTAACCTCAGGTCGGAACGCTCCGTTTCCGCTCTGATCATCGCTGGGTGAGCTACCGTGCAGCTTATCCTCAGTTCCTAAAATTATCACTAAATTCTCCGAACCTCAGAACCGAGACTAACTTCTCGGACACCTTTCGTCTCAGTGTGTTGACACTGTGGGCGAGCTATTGTGGAAAATATCTCCATTGCATGAGCGACTTATAGAAGCCGAATCTAAACGGAATGCCCGTAGGCACCTACTGTTGCTTGATTGCACGGTAAACGTCGTAAGCCGGGTTATGGCCGTCACGCGTTACTGCATTCAGATTGCGTGCGCTTTTTAAACGGAATGCTCGGTGACACCTGCCGGAGCTTGACTGCTCGGTAAACGTCGTAAAGCGAGGCACAGCCGTTACGCGTTACTGCATTCAGATTGCGTACGTTTTTTTTAAAGTCCGTATTAAAAGTGGAGCGAGATGCCTACTTGTTAATCGGGGAAATTTCAGTCTGGCCGCTACAGACAAAGAACGCTAGGCCTGGCCGGGGAGCTAAGCTAGCGCCACAGTTAGACAAATAGGGCACGCGTCCCGTTAAATTGTCATCATTTCTGGCACAGTCAGTCTGTGTCCTCACAAAACCCGCATTGGCGGTGATTCTTGTAAATCGCTACGGTGTGTAGAATCTACATTTTGCTACGTTTGTCCGTCTGATACCAACACGGCAGCGTAGGGTTTGTTATTTTTTTTATTATTTTTATTTTGGACCGGTGAACGGGTCGGCTTTCACAGCCTCCGTTGCTCGGTTCCATGCCTTTTTCTTCCATCTTGTGAAGTAGTGTGTATTCATTTCTCTATCAACAATTCCTTGTTTTACCCTGTGTCATAAGGTTAAGTAGGCTACGGACAGTCCTTGTTGTGTGAGACATATTAAGGAATCTGCCCGGAGTTTTACGTCGGCTCAGAAGGTAGAAACGCGAGTTGCTCTGAACTTAATGGGAGATGGACGAGACACGACAAAATCTTTCTTGCACTGTTACACCTGATGTAAGGTTCTCTGACGTTCTGCTTCCAGAACATGCCAAGACGCAGGAAATTCACCGGCCGAGCATCGCTGGTCCCTCCGCCCGCCCGAACGGGCCCGTTTTAGGCGGGTGCCGCCGGTCGGGAACAGTGGGGACTAGTGGCTGCGGTTCGGTGCCGGCTGCACTGGGTCGGAGGTGGTTCTGGTCTGCAATTCATGACGTGAATTCAAACAACATGCTGTTTACAGTCATAACGCTTTTTCTTTACCTTTGTTTCTTCCAGGGGGTCAAAAACCCACCATCAACATCAAGGTTTGAAATAAACAACACTTTCTCTGCTGCTTTTAAGCTGAATAAATCTCTTGAGCCTATGGTTAACCTCTCTGACAAACAGGTTGTGCTTAACCCTTTGGTTCCTAATGCTTCTCCTCTGTCATCCATGTTAAAGGCTGAACATCTCTCCAGCATGGGTGTGCAATCTTCAGGCTGTGATCCACCGCTTCAGTCAGAGGTCCGTTTTACTCGTCAGTCCGCTTCATGCACAAACCAGCTTCTTTATCGGGGCGTGATGGAAACGTCAGCCGCCGTGAAACACTTGTGGTCTCCGGACGGAGCTACCATGCCATTTAAGGGGTTTGTGCCCGGACATCTTGACCTTTATGTGAATGACCTTGTCACTTTTCAGTTTGTGACCTCTGCTAATACGGTGGCCAATTCTTTTCTCCTTTCACAGGGGTGTGACTTAGTCTCGGGCCTCTGTGCTCTCTTTCCTGTGATTTCTCTTACAGGTGACCACGACGACGCAGAAAACCCTGCGGTTTCCAGCAGTCCTGTGGTCAGTGGCGATCTTAAAGGTGGCTCAGTGGCTGCTGCGCACACCTCTCTCACGGGCTTGGGAAGGCAACCCGGCCCGGGAGGTGTAGGTGCGTGCAGTGATGCTCTGCTCGGGGCCCCTCCTGACAAAGGGGGGGTGCTGAGTGGCTCTGAGTTTTCCGTTGCGGACTTCAACCAGTTCGGGGGAACGCCTCCTCCGAGCGGGCGGGTCATTGCAGAACTCGACACTGACCTTCCTCCAATTCAGCTGACAACATTGACCTCCGACCCGGAGTTAGGTGCTGCACCTTCTACGGGGCGGAGTTCTAGTCAGTCTGTAACTACTCTGGTTAAACCGGGTTTTTCTGATTCTGTGTGGGAACCTCCATCATTCTTGGGTATAAAGTATTCTTGGCTTCAGTTTTCAGGACAGACCATGTTCCCAAAGCTAGCATCATGTCTGTATCTGATTCTAAACATGGCTAGGTTTGCTTTGACACCCGTGACACAATCGTCCTTGGATCACTCCTTTTCAGAACCTCCAAGTCCAACACCTCCAGGTCTTTGGACATCTGAACACCTACTCTTTCAGCACGATTCAGGTGACACTGTGCATCTTCTTGGTAATAGCGTTTTTAAGAGCTTAAGAACTGTTTGTTATGCTTCTCCTGTCTCACAGACACGGCATACGTTTGAGAAACAAAAAGGGGGTGGGGAGCCTCCTCCCGCTTTGCGAGCATCATTTTCGCATTTCCAGTTCACTACCATTTCTGATCACAACAAAGTCGCCTCCGTTAAGCTGCAACCCAACTTTGAGCAGGTAAAATCAGGTTCTGATTTAACAGCTAAACCATCAGCTTCGCTCCAGTTCCAAACGGGACCCTCAGGTAAATTCAAACAAGTTTCCCTGTGGGTTCGTAACACCAGATACAAACAGTTTGATAACCAAATCGCTTATGAGCCTGCTCCCACAGATACGTCCAAACTCGTGTCTCTGTGGGTCCGCAATACCAGATTCAAAACTCTATTCTGACCGGATTCTTTTCCACTGACTGGTGGACCGTTACAAATTCTCTCGTTGTGGGATGAATTTTTAACAAATGTGATATCCTTTGAGTTTTTTTTTCAGGTTACCTGCCTCCAGCCAGGGTCCTGTTACTAACTCACACCTTTAGGGATTACTAACCTACTGATTTACATTTTTAGAGCTGATTTACATCTCTATCTTTTTATTAGTGCTTTGTGTAGCATGATTATATTTGATTACAAATTTAATTTTATTTTGTTGCTATTTCCCTTAAAGGGCCACAAGCCAATTTGCCCTTCATTTTCATGATTATTATTTCTTTTATATACATGCCTTTAATTAATGCAGCCTGCTGAGTTTCACATATCAGTTAGGATTTACTTTCTTTTATTTGTGTTTTCTCTGCATCACGTTTTTACATGACACGTAGAACAGGGTGCAGAACATTTCTTCTTTAGATAATTCACAAAAGGCACCCACATTTTCCCAGAGGCACCCATAGATAGGTTTTGATTGATTTCTTTGTTTTGCATCAAATGCTATCTGTCGTGTGGGCTGTCTCACTTTGTCTCCTTCTCCGAGCTCGTATGGACTACATCCCATCAGAGGGGCCGTCTTCACCATCCTTCAACTGGTTTTCTGTCGCATGGGGCTTCGGTCGTGATTCGAGATGGGTCGAGGTCGTCACTGGACTTCGCCTGGACTACGCCTGAGGAATACTTCATCTGCCCAGCTCCGTGTGGCACACGAGCTGCTTATCCTGTGCATACCTTTGCATTATTGCTGATGAAATTAACTGCTATTGAAATAGCTCTGCTTTCAAGATTTCCTAAGTGGATTACTTTACAATGATTGCAACAGTTTTGGCCTTAATCATCTGATCAGGATAGACTCCCTTCTACACGAGACCTGTGGAGACGCTTCATCGTTCCTGCCTTCATCTGGGATGTCTACCTTCACGAGTACATCACGTTATTGTGTTTGTAACGGCAGGTGGCCTGTGCTTGACCACCATGTCGTCACAAAAAGGGGGGGTATGTAACGTGAGGAAAAATGGGTTTTCTATCACAAAGGTGGTGTTGGACTCAGCTGTGTCAAAGCTGGGTCGCTGAGAACTTTCACCCACAGATTAAGACCTGAACGCCAGCGAGTCTGGGAGGAAACCATAACATCTGCCACCTGCAGTCTACCAGAAGATGTGTTTACATGAGTTGTACCCAGACCAAGTCAAAACATAAAGTTTAAACTTCTTTTTCTTGATTTTAATGTTAAAATAACCATTATCATTTTGCTCATTATAAATGTGTTTAATCAAATGAATGGTTCTTATGCTTTGGGGTAATTATAATGGATTAATGAATCCACACTTAAGTAGATAATGTTGAATGTTTGGTACTGACCTTCACACTCAAGCACACAAACATTCACACACACCTTCCCACAGTAAAATCCAGACACATTTGATGACGCACATGTTTTTGCTTTGAGAAGAGAGAGTTTTTGGTAAGTTTCAATCTTTTGTGAACAGTTCGTGTTGGACAACGAGAGAGAACAGACCTGAAAACCAAAGGGGGGGCAGAGCCTGTTGGCTCGTTCTTCCCACCTTCTCTCACGCTGTTTCTGCCACGCCAGGCAGAATAGCTGAACCGCAACTTCTAACGCAGACTCATTACCGAGTCTTTTGATTTCTGAGTGAATTAACTTAAGAAAGAGCGTCGACAAAACGCTTTACCATCAACGTGTACCGAGGGACAACTCTGGACCGGGTCGCAGTGCATCTTTGTCTTCTTTGCCAGCCAAGGTGACGTGGATGAAACATCCTAAGGTGACGTCCCGGGTCCAACAGAGGGTCCGATTTTCGGTGAGGCAAAACACGACAGATAGCGTTTTGATGCATCTTTTCCACTAAACCTAAGTTTATTCAAACCATCACTTCACTCAGACACCTGTTTCTTCCTGAAGCAAAATCAGATGCACACATGCATTCATCTCATCTCATGTTCAATTCTCACTACACTTGGCACCCACACGCATCCATAATCACATCATATCACTCTCAATCTTCATTCACCTACAGAAGGTCTATTTGAGCATTAACAGCATATCAACTGTTAAAAAGATTGTCCCACAAAGTTATCAATGTTGATTGTATTTCCTGTTTGTCAATTTCAAAATCATTAGTTTAATTTGAAGAATTAAAACTTTTAAACGTCAAACTGGTTTCCTCATTGAACTGAAACACAGACACTCAGATATTATCGGCAGTTTATGGATGAAAACAACCTTTGAGTCTTCTGAACAATATAACATTTGGTTATTGATTTATTAAAATTAATATTCCGAATTAATACGTAGCATGGTTTCTCTTCAATAAAAGAGCATAAATCCATAACGCTACACCCATAAATGTGTGAACTGAGATTTAACAGGTTTTAGTTATTTTTATTGGTATTTATTTTGAGATCAGTAGCAACAACAAGGAATGCCTTCAAATCCAGAGTAGAATGTAAATGTCTCGATAGTAAATGACTTATATGGCTGCTTGTTGGATATATTTTGGTGTGTGTGTGTTTATTTTCAGTCTTTTACATTATGGAGAATTGAACACACTCGGCCCTTTAAAGGCCTGTTGATATGTCTATTGTTGTTTTTTTTCTGTGATTTTCTTTCATTTTAAAATGTCTTTTTCTATTAAGCAGTTGAGAGCAAATTTAAAAACTCAAACACTTTTATTTTTCTAATTCTCTGCTGTAGTTTATGCTTGAATCGTCTGTTCTGACTTCCATGCTTATTTAGTTGTGGTTGTAAAGACTGTATTTGCACATTTCAGCATTTGTGCTGCTTACACATGACAGAGATGTACCAGAACATTGTCTGGTGATGCCAGTATAATGCATGGTCAGCCTAATCCGTGATTTCCCCTGTTAAAACTCAATATGTTATTTTTTCTTGTTTAAAATTGCACCCTTTTCAGGCATCAGCAAAAAAAAAAATTTACATCCAATGTTTTCTACACTCAGTGAACTCACCATCACTAACCACTATTTCATGTCAGTAAGAGCACATTTCAAGTTTATCTAAATCTGGGAAAATAATGTTTTTGTTAATCGTAATTAAAATCCATACCAAAAAGCAGCCCACAAAATCAGAATTGGTGTGTTTTATTCATTAAAAAGCACACAGTTTATCATTAAGGCAACGGAACATAAAGGAGAATCAAGTTCTAGGCATGCGTAACATTTCAGTAACTCATACAAAATGTTGTTTTCAAGGAATGGTGCAGGAGGAAATGGCATTTAAGGTCAAGGTATGTATGACTGAGCATGACTCACCCTTCCACCGCCTGACTTAAACCGTTTTGAGAACACGTGGACTCTGCAATGAGGGAGGACGATATACCTCTTTGAAATACATTTGTGGTCATGAATTTTCTGCCTGTACTAAAAAAAACTCAACATAATATTTTTAAAGTGGTAAAAAATATTTATTTTGCGTCAGGCATTTGTTTTAAAAATCTGAGATCTATCCTAAGATTTCATAAAATTGCATGCAATAGTGGGCTGCACAATATATTTACAATTTACAATCCTTACTAAAAATGATTAGCCTAGTGAACTAGACCAAATTCTTGCTTTGCAAAGTTTGGTCTAGGCATGCTCCATTGGAACCTCAGCAGCTCCTACCAGGACTCTGGCTAGCCAATCACAGCTCTCTAGAGGGGTTTCAAACACATAAAGAGCTGTGATTAGTCCATAATGGTGGGCCAATCATAGTGCTCTATCTGCTTAGTGAACAAATCACAGAGCTTTATTCGCTTTGTGGGCCAATCAGGGCACTCCATGTGCCTGGTGGGTGGGATGATGCAACAGAGTGAAACAAGAGTATGTCACATTCATTGTCCAGTAGAATGCAGAGATCATTTGAAAGACAACGGTAGAACCTGCCCCACAACTGAGAGCTGTCAATGGAGTGTGGCCAGACTAAATAAATGTATTATTTAGTCTGGCTTGCCAGGCTAAAAAATGATGGTAAATTGGCAAAATATTGTGCAGCCCTGGTTCAGATGTTGGAGCTGTTTGTATATCTATATTGGTTTGAAGCAGATAAAGACTCCTTTACTTTGTTAAACACTTTAATTTGGCTGCATGGTGGCGCAGTTGTTAGCACTGTTGCCTCGCAGCACGAAGGTTGCAGGTTCGAAACTCGGCTGCGGCCTTTCTGCCTGGAGTTGCGTGTTCTCCCCATGCATGCGTGGGTTTCCTCCGGGTACTCCGGTTTCCCCCACAGATCACAACATGCCCTATAGGTTATAAATTGTAAGTCGCTTTGGATAAAAGCATCTGCCAAATAAATAAACATAAACATAATTTGAGGTTCAACATACCATAACTTCATATAACCTGTGATTCATGCATGATTAAAATCTGAGTTTTAAGCTTGAGGATATGAGTAAATGTATGACTAAATGCGCCATGTGCACAGTTTTCTTAAAATTTTGACTTTTAAACTGGCCTCATGCCCCATTATTTTTTTGCTGAGACATTTTTAAGCCTTAAAAATAATTAAACAACCTTGCAGTAATAAATAATGAATGTGCAGCCTTTTTAAAAGTACTTCTATATTCAATAAATCCCCCAGAAAAATTCCAAGCGAGGAGATGGTGCTGGGTTGCAAGCGGCTGAGAAAGGCTGCCATTTTTATGGGCTCTATTATTTGAAGAAGTTGAAGTGTGCTTTCTCCATTGCATTAAAATTGCTTCCAACTCACCTGCGTACAGCAGTTCCCTGGAGGGAATGAGTGTGTTGTGCCATATGTGGTTTGTTTATTTTGCAGTCATAGATAAAAATGCATATTGAGCACCATATGAAGTTCTTTTGCTCTCTTTATGCTTTAAAGGCTGTTACGTTGATGAGAGCCTACGTGAAAATAAAGTTGAAACCTTTTATGGAGTGATACACCTTGACAGCTTTGTGGCTGAAAATGTAAATCAAATTTCTCCACAGATTAAATTTCAAACACACTCAATTTCACCACTTCATCATCCAATAGATTGTGTTTATGTTCACAATGTGTAGTGTAGAGTTAAATCTGCATACTGAAATCACCTCTGTTGCTATTCAGTGGAGATTCCGAAAAATGGCCAATCAGATTAACCGATGAGGCTTAGATCATATATAAATACCCGGATACTTATATCGATCTAAGTTCATACATCAACCTGCTTGATCTCATTTTAAATCCAAAGATTAATGTTTAATTTAGATAATTAAATTTAATAGCAAAGTTATTTTAAATCAGAAGCTAGGATCTTTGCTTTCAAATAACCAGAAATCTGATACCTTTTCTGTGTTTCGCTTTCAATAATGAAGTAAGTTTAAAAATGAAGAAATTTTATTACTCACAATTTTAAACTGAAAGATTTGAATCAACAATTATAAAATGACGATTCAAGGATGACAATTTAATGACAATTTTCAACATCTTTGATATTAAACTTGTTTTAAAAGCAAACCTGTGCCTGAATGGAAGCTAAATGGAAAATACAAGTTTGGATGCGTGGATGAAGTGAGAAGGTTTCTTTCCCAGAGAGTTGGAAGCGTTCTAGATAAAAATGATGTTTTGAGGCTAACTGAGTTATTTAGAGAGAAAAACAGCATCAGACGCAATCTGTCAAAGTCTACCTCACCCTTATAGAAGACCGTCCTTCGGATCCGAAGTGTCCAGGTGGAGATGGTTTTCTCCAGGCACGAGTTTGGTAGAAGAACCTCTATGCGACCAAATCAGTCCTGAGATGTCTCCTTGGGTCACTCGACTGGTGGAACGGTTTGTGTCTCAAGATCCGTAACTCTGAAGGAGTTTTTCTTCTCTTTACTTAACTCAGAAATCAATGACTCTGGGTAGAGTCTTCGTTAGCTGGTTACAGTTCATTTATTCTTTGGCTATTCTGGTCGGCATGACTGAACAGCAGGTGGAGATTCAGGGATGGCCATTCCCTTTCCCTCCTTGGTGTTGGTTCAAGAACTGGTTCTGAAGCTGGGGATGGTTAGTTTTACCAAGCTCCAGGACACTCCCACTCTCTCAGGAAGAAAGCTTTGATCATGCGTCAAAACATGTGTGAAGTATTTACCTTGAAGTGAATCCTGCATGAGCTGGACACGTGCAAAGGCATCTTCTGGTTACTGAATAAACATTACTGATTATCATAAATAATAATTATTATTAACCAAAGGTTAATAAGTCATTTCATTAATTAGAATACATTTAATATGAAAAGGATGATTATTTATGATGATTATTATAGACCTTAATAATAATAAGCTTTTATTAAGTTATTTGATAATAGTTGAAGATGTCCTTCATCTTGGGATGGACACAGATAAACAGTCAGGTTGATGATTATTCTTCAGATGTTCCAGCTCCTGATGGCTTTAATCTGTGGATAAAGGTTATATCTTGACCCAGCTGTGACCTAGCTGGAACGTGAACTTTGTCCCAGAAAGATGGTCATCCATAACGCTACAGTAGGATCAAGAGACTACTTTCTGTTTGAGTAAACGGATGCAACATGAGCAGGATTGTTCTAACTTTTACCTGCAACTGAGAAGATCTGTGTGCTTTGGAAACAAATCAAAGTGCTGAAACCAGTAAAGTCTGTCAGAAAAAATTAACCTGTTAGCAGGTTGATTGCTGATTGGCTGCACCTGGCGGTAAGGTGTTTCCTGTTTCCTGGTTTCAGTGTTGCACTACGTGTAGCTGTTTGGTGTTTGGGGCTCGCTAAAACTGATTTAATTTCTCTGTAATAGGATATCTCTGTGTTATTGTAGCACATAAGCACGCTAAAACACACATTTTCTGTTGTTCCACCTAGCTTTTAGGGAACCATTTGAGTTTGCACGCAGTTTAGGGAACCATTTGAGTTTGCACACAGTTTATTTGGTGTTGAACAGTTTGCTCGTCCAGTTAGCTTAGCCTCAGCACGGCTATGGCTACTTCTGTCTCTGCTTCTCCATCTCCTATCTCTTGCTCTCTGTGTCAGATGTTTAGTTAATCCTCTGCCTCCTTTAGCGATAATGGTACGTGTAATAAATGTAGCATTTTTGTAGCTTTGGAGGCAAGGGTGTCGGAATTGGAGTCCCAGCTCTGCGCTGTTGAAAAACCCGTAAACAGCCAGAGCTACTTAGCTAGCGCGGGGCTAACTAGCTCAGAACAACCCTGT